GTATGTATTATATAGTATGTAGTACATAGTATACTGTATATAGTACATAGTATGTAGTATATAGTATATAGAACATATGGAAATTAGGAAGGTAGTACAATTTTTAATTTGAACAGTAATGTGTTTTATTACATGTTATACGATGGATGGATGGTTGGATATATAGTAAATAGTATATAGTACATAGTATATATTATGTAGTGTATAGTATATAGTACATAGTATATAGTATAAGCAGCTTAAGAAAACTTTCTGTGTCATGGTTTAATGATTTTGTATAAAACTCTTATGCTGTTCCCAAGATGGCTTCAGGGAAACAAAGATTTGAAAACGTTTTCTGCTTTATAAAAGGAAAGGATCACGGTGTGTGTCGAAGTACACTGTGTTTGTTCAAAAACACTCTGGGTGTCAGGCCACAGGTGGAGAAGACTAAATACAAACTCAGCACTTTCTGCCCATCTCAACTTCTCTTCAGACCATTTACAGACCTGTGTCTGAAACTGTGAAATAATGCTGCACAACTTGGAAACTGATGTAATGTTACTGCTTTAAATGACCAGAGTGACAGAAGAGGAACTGATCTGCTCAGAATGCTTCTTAACTGTGATACAAGTACCACCAGTGGAGGTATGCAGCGTGTAATTATTTTTTATCACATTCTTGGTTCACCTTGACAGGTGTGACAGGAAGTAGTTCCTGATTTTAAGAGCAGATCCAGCTCTTAGCTGTGTGAGCCACAAACCTGTTGAAAGGTCCTGATGAATGTTCTGTAAACATGAACCTGTAGCCTAACAGTCAAATAAAGTGTTGAGCTGACACCCTGTCATTCAAATGAYTCAACAAACAAACAGGATTTTATGCAGATCTACAGTTTCACACTAACATCCAGGTTTCACTCAGAGAAAACAGTCCCTGTTTTTGTTCTTCCTTCAGAAATCTTGTTGCTAATGAAGCACATGTTTGCTCAGTTCGTCCACACTGAGGAATGAATCCTGACAGGTTTGGATGCCTGCACTGATACTCCACCCTCCTCCCTCCATTCACAACGCCTGCTTTCACTCTGCAAACAACCGCACTGCATAAACTGTCCACCTAACCAAGTTTTAAAACCTTATATCAGCCAAAAA